TTAATATCTTTCAATGTCCTGTTCAACGCCTCAAGCGTCAGGGTTATTCTGAATATTTAGTGGCAGCTTAAATACTGAATGAGCTGTTCTTTCTCCATCCAATAAAGTTGCTGCAATGCCCGATGATGCAACGGTCAATGCGATGTCATTATTTGATCGTATTTCAGCAAGAATTAGCGAAATAACGAATGTTTTGCCAGTTCCACCCGGTGCATCCAAAAAGAAGAACCCACCTTGCCCAGCTGAAACTGCGACCATTATGCGATCATAAACGGTTCTTTGTTCCTCATTAATTAGTGGGACATTGCGGGCAACAATCGCTGCTATTTCCACAGTGCTGTACTGCAGTTCACGATTCATTTCAGTACTCATTAAATCAGATTCAGTTCGATTTGGCGAATTCATACCGAAATTTTTAGTACATTTTCCACCTGCCATGCAAGGCGATAAACGATTAAGAGTACCGCATGGGTCATGAATCATGTTTGCTGTAACAATATCAAACAGCAGTTGGTCAGTGGACGGATCTGGAATTTCCGCAGAAATGATACTATCGATTTCTTCAGGACGGATTTTGTCGATTAACCAAACCAAAATGTGTGCATGAGGTAATCCTCGCTTTTGCCACTCAACCGAATACAGCCAGCAACCAGCCAGTGAGACCGAATACATGTAATTTAGTAATGAAACTTATTAAAGACTTCAACTTTTGTCTGAACACACGTGCTGTAATGTCATGGCGATGTATTGCATTTTGGCCAGGCAATAGCAAAGATGCAATCTCTGGCCATTTTGGATTACATGTGAACGTGATAAATAAACATGGTCGTCCATATTCGCGCACGAAAGTCAGAGCATCCTGTATATATTCTTGCATATGACGTGGACTGCCTACGTACGATGATGGTAAAATGACATGGTTACCAATTTCGGCGACGTCGGCGTTGTTGTTGATAGCGTCTCGCAAATGAATGTACTCTTCCGNTTCCGCACGCAGCTTTAGTTGATTATATCGTAAGTATCGTAGTCGTTCGCCCTCAATCTTCGCGTACATGTCGACCATGAATTGTTGACAAAGCTCACGACATCGTAGAATGACGCTGTCCAGGCCGCGTCTAATCATTAATCGGTACGCATAATAATCCTTTGAGCTAACGTTCTTGTTTGTTTCAGCTCCTGTAATAATATATTCATAAAAATTAATTTAAATTAATTACGTTCAATAATTTAATTGTTTTGTTAAATGATTAATGATCAAATTCATAATCAATGAAGTACCTGATACGGGATCTCGTTGTTTTATGTTTATGCAATATCCGTCTTGTCCCTTCCAGAATATTAGCGGATATTGGAGAGCGTCATATGAACGATGTGTATCAGCAATGAACTGAAGATTATTATTTCTTCTACGAATCACAATTTCTCGTGCACCTGTACGATCGCCAACCATGATTCCAGCAACATCATCAACAACGGGTGCATTGAATCTACGAATATGCTCTCCAGCTGGTGTTTTATCAGGATTAATGACGATAGCGTGATTATCGCTTTGTAATTTGTGCATGTGTGATTTGAATATTTTCAACAATTCGTTGTGCTCATTATCGCTTTGTAATTTGTGCATGTGTGATTTGAATATTTTCAACAATTCGTTGTGCTCATTTCAATTCGTTGTGCTCATTTAATATAGCATCCAGCTCGCTGACGGTGCGTCTGGCATAAAATGAATCAAGGTTATTATAATCACAACGTACATTCACGCGATTGGCAAGTGCGCTTCCGGAATCCTCGCCACCCATGAAGTAGATTTGTAAAAATGGATGTAGTCCGTTTGGCATTGGCAGCAGTGAGCCCATTTTATGATAAACTTGGCCTCTAATTTTGAATGTAGAATTGTATTGTTGACCATTTGTATTAGTATTTCGAACTATTTCTGATGCTCCGAACGATGTCATTTGAAAGCATGAATTGAATGTTCGAATTGACTTCAGGAACACGTTAGAATCTGGATCCGTGCCGATAAGTAAACCGTTCAATGGTTTAGATGGTGTTTCAATTTCAGGTAGTTGCACTTTTCCTGACGCGCAACACATCCCAGCTGGCTCATTTTTGAATTTCAGAGCATGACAATGCGGACATTCCTTGTCCATAGCACCAATTACCACTTTTGAATGAGCATAATATTCAATATCGGGCTCATACTGGAATGCTAGACGCAGGAATGAATCAGATGGAAATGCTCGATGTACCTGTTGTCGTTGTTGGTCATTTGTTCTGCGTCTATTGACTGTGAAACGGCGTAATTATCGTTGTTCTAATCTTATTACTTCATTTCGTTCAGCTCGTATGTCTTCTGACTCTTCTTGACGCAATTGCGCCATTCTGACACGTGCATCAGTATTTTGTTGCTGGATTTGTTCTTCGGTTCTTTCGGATTTTCTATTTCGCAAGCTTCGAGATTTACTTGTATTATAGTTCAAATTAGCCCCTTTGCATTTTGTTGGCATTGAAATATGTGCAAAACACACGTACATAAGTTAGGTTAGGTTAGCAAAATTAGCCAAATCGGCCCAGCCGTTCTCAATTGTTATTGGCACGCGGGTGATATAATAAAATAATAATAAAAAATAACCACATAGAGTGTATATTATCTCTCCATGGCAAAATAATAATTGTTGAATATCGTGCGTGCTAGTATACTTTGACTTAAGAGGCCATAACTCCGGAACCACTTATCGNCTTAGATAGTAGCCGATTCTCAGACCTACTGAATATGCATATAAAATTTCATGAGAATCGATCAAGCCGTCTCGGAGGAGTATGGGAACGAACATTGTGACACGATAATTTTATATATAAGATATTATAAAATAGAGTCCAAAGTTTATATTTCTTATGCATTGTGACATAAAAAAATTATGTTTCATATTTAAGAATATTTCAGGGTTATAGAACATTTAGTATATTTAGCATATTTTGTAAATTATTATATGAAGATACTTGTTAATTGTAATTTTTAATTATTATTTAATATTAAAATACCTGAAAACATTTTTTCAAATCATTTTTTTCTTCCTGTTAAAAATAAAGCAAACTAAAAAAGTATTTATTGATGTAATTTTGCATATTTTTTAATTATTAAGAGAATGTTACTTTAATAATATCCAGATTTATATTCGAAATCTAGACTATAATTAAAAGGAATAATGTATATAATTAGTAATTAGTTTACATAATTATAATGTATCATACTGTTTTGGTGGAAATATTGATGCTTTTAAATTTAAACATTATTATCATACATGATTAAAGCATGTAGTACCTAAACATTAATACACTGGTTAATAAGAAATTGTTTGATGAAAACAGTACATTTATATTGGTCTCCTAAGACAATTAAATATTGATGTAACTACTATTCACTATAAAATTGCATTTTTGACCTATGTAAATAATGTAGATTTAAATAATTTATAATTTTAGTTTTATTTTTTATATTACATAGAAATTTGAATTTTATTTGTAATTTTTATTTTTAACTTCATATTATGCATAGTATTATTTTAAATAATGTATGCTTGTATTTTAACTTACTGTTCTCTATCACAAGTTTTTTTTATGACAGCTTCATCATAAGACTTTTATAAATATAAAATTTTCATTTTATATGCTTTGTACTTATTAATATTGTGATTGATGATGATTCAATAAATAAATAATAATATAAATAAGCCATATGTAACGGCTAACCATAACTACTAAAATCGTTTAAATTATATAAATTCTTTATTTCTTGTTGAGTTACCAAATTTTGTTAAAATTAATTATTCAAATCCTCTAAAGAAACCTTAACCTATGGCGCTATTGAATTCATGAAAAACCTTTATTTTTACAATTGAAAATAATTTTTGACAAGTCATGTATTATATTTTCAAGTCCTATGTAATCAAATTGAAAAAGCTATTAATTTTAAAATTAAAATTACAATATAGTTTACTTAATATTATTATCTTTTTTAAAGAATTATGTAATACACTACAATACATTATAATACAGTTATAATTTTACAATACATGAAAAATGGAAATGACAAACTGTATAACTATAAATTTTCAATTATAAATTAACAAAATGTTTTTTTTTTATATTTAACTTGTAGGGCTTAATGTTTATGCTATGTTATAAGGAAAAATTATCATAAAAACAAATGTGTAATAAATATATAAAATTTAATGTAAGTATATTATCATTTATATGATAAGTACAAAAAAAATGTAGAAAAGTATTTTCATCAATATACATTTTATTGTGGTTTAATTAAGTTAATAACAATTACAAAATAGATTATGGCACTGCTGATATGTGTATCACTGTTATATGTGGGAAGCTAGGACACATAAGGTCATTTAATTTATCAGTTATAACTAAGCTAAGATAAACGATTCTGAACAAATTTCGTTTATACATGATTTGGGTGTTTGGTAGTTTTTTGATAGAATCAAGATTTCTGTTGGAAAATATAATTTGTACAAATTTAAAATAATGAAATTGTATGCCATAATTTTTTTTGGAAATTCCCAATTATTTCGAAAAATCAAAAAATGACCTCTTTAATGCACCAACTATAAATAATTTCCGTTCAAAAAAATGTGCCAAATTTGATATATTAGATCAAGTTTCTCGTTCAAAAAGTTCCTCACAGACACATAAAAAACTTAAACTTAAACAAATATATCACTCGCTATCAATCCAAATAAAAACTTATTGAAATGAGAATATAAGTAGGTACCCATCTAATATGCTTGTGTGTTGGCACTTGGCATATTTTTAATATGCTAATAACTATTACAGAATAGATTATAACCTATGTACTATCTTAGCTTAGAAGATCTTTTAATTTTTAATTTTTTGGTTAGTAAACAACTTTTAGAAAAGAAAACTTGCTCTGATGTGTCAAGTGTTTCACGTTTTCTGAAAAAATTTTTTGTCTAGTTCTTGCCTTTCGAAGTTATTTTTCTAATTTCCAAGTAGGTTGTTTTCATAATAATAAGGAAAAACCGGAAAAATTTAAAAAATGAAATCAGCAAATAAATTGATAGCATTATGATTCCTTTATTTTGAATGTTTTTGGTTATGTTTTCTACTAGAAATATTGTTCCATTAGAAAAAACAACAAGAGACTTTCTTTGTTGTATTTTGAGTCTAGTTGATCTATGAGAAAATAATTTTTAATTATTCAACTAATTTTATGTAAATTAGGTAATTGTAGTAGCACGTTAAAATTAATGAATGTTATTTTTGTGTAGGCATATCTAAGTTACTTATACATTTGTTGCCCAATCTTCGGATGCCGGCCATTATAAATATATAATTATTAAATTTATGCCCGATACTCCGGGTAGGTAATAAAAATGTAAATAAATATTGTAAAGGTACGATGCAGGAAGATAAAATGTGGCCCAAATACCGACTGCTCAACTGTTTGACAATGGATAAAACAAAAACAATGACAAATTTGCAGTGTAGAGCCCAAAATTCCAATTATCCTTTTAAATGTATTTCTTTTTTCAAATACATCTATATGAATATAATACATACTATCGAATTTGGAAATCTGCGTTCTTTCTGCATGAGTAGGTTTTACATGTGTGGTTCCAATGATATTACCTATGTGTATTTTAGATAAATATTATTCAGTAACTACGCTAAAAATTTAAATATACATATTATATATTATAGATACCTACTTTCAAACCTTTCATTAAATAAATACAAAAAAACAAATACTTATACTTAGTTACAAAATATGTAAGGATTGTAAGCGTACAATATATACTTAAATATAATAATACAAGTAAATGTAAAAAAAAAAAACAGGTACCTATCTAATATATGCAGTTATAATATGAATAATAAATAATAACTATATAATTATTATAACGAATCGCTTATAGTCACACTGATTTAATGCCAACTTCTGAACTAAAATGGTATATACTTTGTGTTTATACGACCAAAACGAAACAATTTCCCTATAAGCTGTAGTCATAGTGTTCCCGATGTTTTTGAAAAGACACGATTTATGATCTTGAATGTTCAGATGGGTTTTCATGACACGCTGAACAATTCTTTTCGATTTAAAATGCTCTTTGCCGATCCAGTTGTAACCGTAGGATTTTGCCTGTAAGGGCATGTATTCTCATATAGAACACGACCCAGTCTTGTTGCTGAAATGTCCCGGTTTCTTCTTGCATGCGACTGTAAAACACGGATGATCGACAGGAAAGTTTGACATATTCAACTTTTCTAGAAACTCGGTTTGTTTTTTACGTTATCGTAAAAATTTAGTGTCCAAATTAATTATATGAGGGAATCTAAAAACAAAAAAAATAAAAAATAAATAAAAATATTCAAATAGCAGAGTTCCATGTTATCATGATCATTCATTTTGTTCATCTATTAGAGTGGAAATCAAACATTAAATTTTTGGATATGTCCAAAACTAAAAACCCCACAAAAATTGGTTTGTTGAATTCCACCAAGTCTTTGTGCAGATGGATCGTTACAAGATTTTCATTAAAAATCGTGAAAGATTTGAAAACTTGATTTATTAATTAATTTAGCACACCTAAATACACCTAGTAAGCCTAAGTTCTCCATCGTTTTACCTTTAAAGTCGAGTAAACTAAATAAATTTATTAAATTACAATTTTTTTTTTCACCGAAGACGCTATTATTTATTAATTTGCAAAATTTTATGAAAATCAGTTTCCGCAAGTTTCCTTTTTTCTATATTAAGATTTATATAACTTTGAAGCCAAAGCGACAGGTTAGATTTAATTATTTTATGAATTTTATCTAACTGTAACCCCGCCTCCATTGACTGTTTTAGCGTAGTATAGTGTACTACGTATTTTTTTTATGTTGTAAACTTGCTATGAGTTTGGGTAGTTTAGCCTCAGGTCGAACCATTTTCTCTGTAAATATGGAAAGTCATTATGATGATCATGTATCTTTTCTAGATAGGTTACGTCAAACTCCAAAACCATACCCACGTCTGATTTATCACCTATTATTTAGCATATTGGTTATATGGGCTACGCTCATATCTCCAGTATACCAGTGAAACTCATCTTTGATCAAAAATTGTGGCATTGTTCATCTGTATCTAGAAAAAATTGTATTAATAATTTTTTTAAATAAATAATCAAATCAAATAATTTAAAATTGTTACACACAAATTGTTCGCATCCAAGTTATCGATCCACGAATCTTGGTGATTTATGTCGTAATCAGGCATTGTTAAGTTGTTAGCTTTTGAATACCTAAGGACTGTTTGTGGCAGTCTGCCTCTGATACAGATTTGTAATATAAAAATTTAATCGTTAACATGTAGTTCTTCGATTTCGACTTTTGTGTGTTTTAACATACAGTCGAACGATATCCCCGATGCTATATAAAAATAAGACTAATCCAAACCGTACGTGTCCATGCATATATCACGGAA